TCTTCTGTTGCTAAAGACAAATTTCGATAAAACATTTCTACCGCTTGTGATTCTGACCACATTTCTTTATAGTCTTACAAAAGTGTTCTAAAGATATTTTTTTGATTTTTTCTTAACTATTTAATAAGTGCTTGAATGAATCTTGTTTTTGTGTCGGCTACAAAATGGTATTTGTGGTTCCAATTTTTAAAACGTTCAGAGAACATTATGAACTCTAAAAATATTGCCCAATCTTTCTTTCTCTATTAGCAAGGTCTTTGAATCTTTCTTTTTTGAATAATTCAAATAACTTACTGTCAGAATATGAATACGTATTTCAATCTTACTGTCAGAATATGAATACGTATTTCAATGGCATTCTTGCTAACTGCAGTGACTGACAGATTCTATTGTGAATAGGATAGAGGCAGCGATGGAAGGGTTGTTGCACTTATCATATCTAAATTTTTAATGAAGTTTATTTCATATGGTGTATTTGGAAAAGTTTTTGAGATTATCAAACCATTTAATTCTATCCTCTTTATTATAGTTATCCTTGAAGGCTAAAATTCTTCTTTACTTCCAGTAACTTTTGGGGTACATCAAGATTCTATCTTTGGTCCTGTTTTGTTTCTTACCTACACTAATAATTTTCTTAATTTCCTTACATCTAAAGTTGGTCATTTTGCTGACAACTTAACTTATTACTCTTGCCTTGACAAAAATTCTTCTTTTTTGATTGCTTAGAACGAGTAGCCTATCTTTAATCTGATCTCACTTTTGTAAAAGAATAGGGCTTTGAATGGCTTGTGAAACAAAACCTAGTTATTTACTACAAACAACTACCGCAACATTTTCAAAATACCTATACTAATGACAACCCTCTTAATCGTCTTAACGTCTTCTTGGATTGTTGTTCACTTTATAAAATTACGTCAACATTTGATTACTCTTCTTACCATCTCCGTCCCACTCATCAAGAAAATTAAATGAAAGAAAAGAAAAAGTTAGAAAAAGCTGTTTTATAATCTCAAAACTTTTCTCAGAAACACCATAGGAAGAAACCCAAGCTAGGGGTAAGAGGTAAAATACGAATCAAGGAGTGAAGATAAGTGATTTGAGTTGTCTGAAAAACGAGAATTAATCTGATTAAGAGGTTGAAAAATACTAAAGTTATAGGCTATAATATCAGTGATAGTGGTTCAGTGATAGTAGAGCAAAGCTATTCAGTATGATGATAATATTGGTAGAAGGGTAAAAAAATAAGGGACTCGGTCAATTTGATCATAAATTAGATCTAAGAAGGAGAAAAATAAAAAAAAAAGAGAAAGATGTTTGAGTAAAGAGGTACTAAGCGGAAGGAAGCACATAAGAAAATGGACAGAAGATTTAAACCTGATTTCTTGACTAATAGATGAACTAATGCGTAAGTTTACATCCAAGCAAAGCAATTTTGAAAAAAAAAGATATTATCTATTATCTTTATCATTTATATCAATACTAACTAAAAATGAGTTGGTCTAGTTAAGACCGTCCCGAAGAGGTGTTCCGTATAGAAGGGGGGGGGGATGTATTTTTTTGCCAACTAGAAAATAGGGCCTCCAATACCGGGAGGTATTGGAATTAAATACCGGTTTTTCGGTATTAGATTTAATAAAAACCGATATACAGGTAATAATACCGGTATTTACAAATACTCAAAAAAATATTAATTAAAACTCAAAGCAACAAACAATCGGTTCTAAAACTTTATTGTTTAAGTTAAAATAATATATAAAATTATTTCAATTAAAAAACGTAAAAAATACTATTTATTTTTGAAATAAGCCCGCAAAAAACTTAAATTATTTACAATTTTGTCATTTAAAGATAATCAAATTTTCGAACATAACATTCCCAATGAAGAGAATGCCCATTCAGCTTCTACGCTCGCTGGGGGAATAGTTAAAATTTAATCTTATACTCACTTCATGTCGGTACCACGTGTACCGTCTTACTTAAATATAGAAATTTCTTTTCGTATCATTATAGTCAAATTGTTTATATTTCGATTTGTTTTTTGTACTGTTTTTTATTATCATCTTATTATTTATGGCCATGTCCAGCTGCCCTTGTAATATCAAGCTCAAAGGTTAGTCTTCGCACATTATGGTATCTTTGTCATCATCTGCTTCGGATGGCAATGCTGTAGTTTCGGCTTGGACGGATGAGAACCGCTGGATAAGATGCACAACTAAATTTAATAAAGCAGTTTTAATTAGCAGATCAAATATGATATCTGAACCAAAATTATTTTGGGTTTGATCTCCTTTATGAAGATATTGTATGAGATAAGATAAATTTTTACGTCTTCCTTTTATTTTTTCAATTAAGGAGGCCTTCATACTGTTACTTAATGGTCCTACGCCCAGGTTTTGCAGCATAAGTGCCAAGGTAGTATCAGCTGATAGAAGATAAGCATCTCTCCGATATAAAGCCTTTAAAGCAAATTTCACTGGTAGCAACATAGAAACTGTTGATAAAAGTCAATTCTAATTCAAATTAAGTAAAGTTAATAGCTGATTTAAAGTCAATCAGGGCTTTTTGAATGGAATTTTTTTATTTATAAAAAAGCTCTAGCATAAAAAGTAATCTGCTCTATTTAGTCTTATTATCTAATATTATTCACAGTTCTTTACCATTTTCAGTTTTTATATAAACTTGAAGGAAAAGATTGTAAATTATATGAATCAGGATGAATCAAGATGAAGGAAGCAAATTCCAAAAAACTGATGTTCGAAGAAAAAAACTAAACAAATAAGAGTTTTTGAAGCACTTAGGAACAGTAACAGAAAAAAAATGAGATTTAATTGAATGACGAGTAACACGAGAATGAATTTTAGTAGATGGCACAAGAGACGCTAGCTCTTTAGAGCAGTGCCCATTATAGTATTTGTAGAAAAGAAAAAGAGAAGCAACATTACGACAATGTGACAAAGGTTGAAGGTTGGCTGCAAAAGCAGGTCCAACTATGTTTACAATGCATTTTTGCACCTTGTCTAAAAAAGAAAGATTATCATTAAAAGATCCGGCCCAGATGTGGCAACAGTATTCCATACAAGGCCGAGTTTGAGATTTATAGAGAATATAATCCAGAGTAAGAAAGTGTCAAGCTCGATAAAGAGATGTAACTTTTGCAGATGCTAATTTTGCAACGGATTTGATATAAGGTTTCTAAGAAAGATCAGAAATAAGAGTTAATGCTAGAAGATGAAGGGTAGATGACTCATGGAGTACATTACCATTTATAAATATAAGAAGGTCTAAATTATTGCGATAACAAATGGCTGAAAAAAAATTGAGTTTTATCTGAATAAAAGTTCACCAGCAACTGTGAAACCCTATGCTGTAGCAAAAGTGAGATCTTTTTCAAGCTCAAATGCCCCCTCTAAGCAATCAGAGGGAGTTGGCTTCTTATCGTGAAAAGAATAAATGGTAAAATCATCAGCGAATAATGCCACCTTAGATGTGAGAATATCTGGAAGGTCGTTAATGTAAATTAAAAAGAGTATAGGGCTAAAGATTGAACCTTGAGGAGCCCCTGAGGTTACAGAATAAAAAGAAGAGTGCTGTCCCTCAAGGACAACTTTTATACTATGATTGGATAGGAAAGATTCAATAATCTTAAAAATTTTTCCAGATACATCGTAAGAAGAAGGCTTATGGAGACGACCAGCATGCCAAACTTTATCAAACGCTTTAAAAATGTCAAGAGCGATGGCCTTCACCTCTCCACCTTTATCTCATTCACGATAAAACCTATCGTTTGTTACTGTTAGCAAATCAGCCGTAAAATTTGCCTGTAAGCAAATCAGTCGTAGTATATAAATATTAGGGATGTACCGAAGCTTCGGCTTCGGCTTCGGTTTGCCGAAGCTTCGGCAATTTTGCCGAAGCTTCGGTTCGGCCGAAGCCATGGGCGTTTTTTGCCGAATCATTGGCTTCGGCAAAAAAATGGACATTACTAAGCTGGCATTCGACTGAGGAAGACATTTTTTAAACGTTCACACGTTGTCTGTTTTCCGAATAAAACGTAGTTGAACGTTCAAAATTCTTCTTTTTCTTTTCTTCTTCTGAGAAATTTAAATAAGCCTCTGATTTATACAGTTGCGAAGATTAAATGAATCCAGCAACGGCTTTTGGAGGTGGCAAAGCCGCGTGTAGGGCGGCTAAAAACGGCACGATAGCGGATAGAAAGTAAAGTTACTTAATGAAACACATTGATTTTTTTATAATCACTCAATATAAGCTGATTTAAACTGTAACATTGTAGTAAACTTTATATAATTAAATACCATAACCCTAATACTTAGTTATGATCACTCGAGCTTAGCAATAAAATTTATTTATGCATTAGTTGGTAGTAAAATAATGAAAAATTATTAAAATTTAATTTTTTTAGCATTTAGTTATTAGTTAGCATCAACTTCTAAAATCCGAGTTATGTTAAATTATATATTTTTTAATATTAAATTAAAATTAAAAATTAAACCTGGAAATAAATCTTCATTTAAAATTACTTAGATGTAACTAAAACATAGCGCACGAGAGTTAAGAGAGTTAACTATTCTCGAAATTTTTAAAAATCTATACAATAAGTTAATTTTAACGCACGAAACAATTTTTATTCAGAAAGTTTGTTTTATTAAGTCACAGACAGAACACAGAAAGACACTACACAGAAAGACACTACACAGAAAAGACACTACACAGAAAAGCACAATTGAAATGTAAGTCAATTGCGTTTGTTTTTGATTTTGTACGCTGGATCATTAGTAAAAGTAAATATACCTGCTCTACAAATATAGGTTAATTGGTTATTTACGACTTCGATTTTTTTTAATTCAAATAATATTTGAATCAAAAAATTGAACGAATATTGTTTATTTCAATAAATATTATTAAAGGTAAGAAAATAATTAAACTTTCTATTTCAATTTTCAGAATTGTTATTATAACTTTAAGTTATCCATTAGCGCATTATGGCTACCTCATCGCGAAGTAAAAATCCCTTATGGAATTATTTTAAAGTGAGTGATGAAGATGTTGGCAAAGCCATCTGCATACTTTGCAAGAAGATTTTGTCTAGAGGAAGTAAAGACGCACACAACATGTCAACAACAAATTTACAAAACCATCTGAAAAAAGTACATTATAATATACATAGCATGATTCTTTCTCAGAAGAAAATTATTAACCACGAATCTTTACCAAATCCAAATGAAAAGTCTATAAAACAATTTTGCACTACTCGAACAATATGCTCAGATAGAACAAGCTCTGCTGAATCAGTGCAAATCATTACCAGCACTGCCACAGATGAAACGCAGGGAAGCTCGCGTGTGTCTAATTACACAATTGCCTTTTTTCAAAAAGCATCGACACAGGTAACTCAGCTAACTGTAGCTGAATTCATTTACTATTCAGTATTCATGATTTTGTGACTGGATGGGGGCATGTCTTGTCGAAAAATTATCTTTTGTATAGAAAAATGTTAACTTAACTTATCTAAGCTTATAATATTATAATAAATGTACTGGTGAGGGGGGAAAGATACATACCTCTATCCGCCACTTAGATCCGTCGCTGGCCATTGTTAGTTACAAGTTGCTAAGTAATTTTTTTAATTCATTGAATTTGTTTCAGGTCTCACTGCGTGAGATTTTGCAAAGAAAAGAATTGTGGCGACTTGATAATCCTAAGGCTCAAGCTATTACCAAGCTTATTGGAGAAATGATATGTTTAGACTTGCAGCCATACTGTATTGTTGAAGATAAAGGTTTTACCCGACTTTTAAAGAATTTAGCTCCAAACTATACAATACCTAGTCGAAAGTATTTCTCCACAAAAGTCATTCCACTGATGTATGAAACCATAAAAGCCAAAGTAAAATATGAGCTTGATCAAGCAGATTTCTTAAGTTTAACTAGTGATGGTTGGACCTGTCAGCACACAATTCAATCGTATTACAGTTTAACAGCTAGATTTGTAACGCATGAGTTTACAGTTAAACATATCATCTTACAAGTTACACACTTCCCTGAGTCGCACACAGGGCACAATATAAGTAAATTCATAAATGAAGCGCTACAATCATGGGAAATTCCCCATGAAAAAATTCATGCAGTTTTAACTGATAATGCAGCCAATGTAATGGCTGTCATTAAAGAGTCAAATTTAGGCGATAAACATCTTCCATGTCTGATACATACTTTACAACTTTGTATTCAGAAAAAGATTTTTAGAGAACAAAGAACAGCAAGTGATACAATAGCTGTTTTTCGAGCATTAGCAGGACATTTCCACCACTCATCTAGTGCTGTGGCTAAACTAAAGGAAATTCAAAGTCAACTAAAATTGCCAGAGCATAACATAATTCAAGATGTTTCCACAAGATGGAATTCGACATACTATATGCTTGAAAGGTTCATTGAGCAGAAAAAAGCTATTACATTGTATTGCATTACCAGAAATCAAGCAAATGCAAAAAATCCTACGGAAAATCAATGGCAACTTGCTGAAATGCTTGTATGCATATTAAAACACTTCGAAAGTACTACAAAAGACATGAGTAAAGAAACGGTATGTATATCAGAGATTATACCGTTTATCTATGCAATGGAAAAGTTTCTAGACTACGCTTGTGACACGGCAACTGAAATAAAAACTGTTGTTGATGAACTTAAGAAAGATTTTAACTGTCGTTTTCAAAAATACAAGGATAATGTTGATTTAAAAATCGCGATGATGCTTGATCCTCGTTTCAAGTTAAAGTTTGTTGAAGACAAGAATCATAATATGTTTAAAGAAATACTCCATTTAGAGTTCTACCGTTTTTGTTCCAAATCTCATTTAGAACAAGTAAAAGAAATTGAATTTGGTGTAGCAAGAGATAGTGGATCAGACTCAGAAGAATCATTAAGTTCATTTTCAGAATCTAAAATTCATGAGTCCGACTCAGATTTTGATGGCCATGGCTCTCCATTAAAAAAAAAAAACTAATGAGCATGGACATATATAGCTTGTTCCACCAAATCGGTGCAAATGAGTATGCTCTACAAAATTCAGAAAATTCTGACGGACGGAGAAAAAAGAAAAAAAACACTAGTTCAATGGGAAAAACTCTAACTGTCAAAGAAAAATGGTAAGAAAACAGAATCTATTTATGATTTTTATATTGTTTATACATTAAATATTAAATATTTTTTTTATCTCTATTCTCATTCTCCATTTTTTTTATTTCAAAAGACGGATAACAGCATTCTTTTATTTTGTTTAGTTGATTAAATTGTAATATTTTAAAAATTCAAACCTAAAATTATCACCTATATTTTATGTATCAGCACCGATGAAGTCAACTTCTACTTGAGCCTTCCAATTCTGCCAAAGAATGAATGCCCTTATAAGTGGTGGAGTGCATACCGTTACACTTCCTCTGATAAAGATACTTACAAGTTGAATTTGTCAAAGTTTTCAAAGAAAGTTTTGTGCGCGCCTCCTTCATCTGTAAAAAGTGAACGCTTATTTAGCACATCTGGAAACATATTTGAAGCAAAAAGAAACAGACTATTACCCGAACATGGAGAACAGATTACATTTTTAAATTGTAATATGCCTGCTTTCATTGAATAAATTTTTATTAACTAAATAATAGACTGTAGCTTCTTAGTTCAACTGATTCAACTTTTTAACAAAATTTAAAACAAATACCAAATTTTGTGTTCAAATTAAAATAATGACTACTTTTATATTTTTACATTTTACGTGTTTACATTTTTATAAATTCTTTCAAAGAATAGACCATAATTTACCTTAAGTATCAGTAAATGTCTAAGATTTAGTGATGTAATCTTTCCTATACCTGCTAGATATATAGAGTTAAGACTCTAAATTTCACTCTCTAAATTTTTGTTCAAAATTTGTTTAAATTTTTTATAATATTGATTTTGTTTTATAATTTTCCTAAAATGGGCATGTAGGCCAAAACATTGAAACCTAAAACATTGATATATAATTTTGAAAGCAACTTGATTATTCAAACCACCGTGGTGAAGTAAATTGAGCTTTAAATTACGTATAGCTTAAGCCGAAGCTTCGGCTTCGGCCGAAGCTTCGGCTTCGGCAAAGTGGCTTCGGCCGAAGCTTCGGCTTCGGCAAAATTGCAGCTTCGGTACATCCCTAATAAATATATATATATATATATATATATATATATATATATATATATATATATATATATATATATATATATATATATATATATATATATATATATATATATATATATATATATATATATATATGTATATATATATATATCTGTACCTCGGAGGGATACAACACTATGTCCATTTTCACAACTTTACAGGAGAGGAGTTTTAAACTTTTTTTCAACAAAAAGTGTTATTGGCACAGCTATTTATTGAGATGTTGAAACAATATTTTACCAGAACATTCTATTTATTGTTATTTACATCATGCAGTTGTTATAAAATAAAAAAAAACCTTTTTTATGGTTTTTTTTTCACTTTTTAATGGACATGGTGTTGTATCCTTCTAATAAAGTTATTGTACTATAAGACCTAATGTGGGATATTCAATAAAAAACACAATACTATTTGACTTACAAAATGTATTTAACTATTTTATTTATAATTCTCTTTACAAATACAAATAATACATCTATGTATTCAACAAAAATGGTATTTTAGATTCAAAAAACTCAGTCATCATTAGGTAAGTCTCCTTCAGGGTACTCACTAGTGGTATTACTAGTATGCTTTAAGTTTTTATAAAAGTCATGGCAAACTGTAGGAACATATGGTAGTAATGCCTATAGATCATTATACTTTTGTTGTGATATTGGTATTGGACTTGGTGTTACCTTCGAAACCTAACAAGGTCAATCTCCTGGTTTTCATCAGCGAAATTACTTTTCAAAAACTGAGTTCCCATGCTGTTCTGTTTTACTTGCAGTTGAACACAGGTTGACAGAAGAACTTGTTCTTTGTTGACATCTTTTTTTCTATTAATAAAGGGTGGATTTTCACATGTTTTGACATCGTACAAAGACCTAAAATTTTTAAAATCTTCCAGTTCCATATTATGCACAGTATATTTCATTGAGGTCTGTCTGACTAACTGCTGCCAATCCCAGGGCGTTAGAATTGTCATGTTGTAAAGTTTTTTTCTCTTCCATACTCTATCAGTGCATGGACAGTATCCGCCTCCATATGCATGTGGCCCTTTAGTAGAATCTTTTGAGTGATAATTTTTACTTGAGGATACTTATGAGTATCCAAAAGAAACACATAATAAGGCTAATATTCTTATTCTGGCCGTAACAATTATCCGACCACAGAATAATTTCTTCAATGTCACTGCCAGGAATGACGGTATCTGCCCATTTCAGTAATGCAGATCCGATTTCATTTCCGCCACGAGCTCCTTTGGATTCGTCCCACATAATACAATGGACTGACGAATCAGAAGAATCAAAAAGGGTGTAATTCAACGTCCAAAGTTTTCTCTTGTAAAAGTTTATGCAATTTGTTATAAGAGGTGACGGCAAACATTTTTGAAGATCACCCGTTAGTACCTTAAGGGTATTGTTAGCCCTTTTGGTGTCCTCGCTTTTTAAATCATACCTTAATTTAGATTCATCCAGATGTGCATTATGGTCTTCCTCAATAGAATTTTTTTTATCTAGAGTCAATTTGTTATTTTTTAATTTTGCTTGAAAATAATCACATGTGTCACACATGACTATTTCTGGTGGTTTGAAATTCAACTTAAATTTTTTGTTGAACACATCGTAGTAGAGCCATTTTTTAGCTATTAACAAAAGGTTGAAATCATTTTCATTACAATCCTCTACATACAGTTCATACATTTTCTCTATGTTCAGGTGCGGACCCAAATACTCCATATCACTCTTTTCCCTAGTGTAATGACTGCTATAATTTGGGAAGGAAGAGATGTGTCTTACTACACTTTCAACAGTGTCATTATGTGTTTTATTGACGGGAGTTTACTTACCCCTTTGATCGATTTTTACAATTCCACCTGGATCAATATTTTTCAAAACATTAACTACCACGGTGTTTGATATAGATAGTGTATTTAAAAACATAAGTTTACATACTCTAGTTCGTATGCCTTTTACTGTAAAATAATATTGTAGAGTATTTTGTTTTGACTTATTGGAGGCGAGGTCTCGTTTTCTTGAACGCACAGTACTATGCTTCTCTACACATGAAACAATGAATTGCCGTTTTATGTCATTTCCCTTCTCCTGACTCCAGTATGCATTAAAGATCTCCTGTCTGTCACTTTGTAATAATTTTTCAGAACATTTCAGTCTGCAAGAACAAGGAGGTTTAATAATTCTGGCAGGGACAACTTTACCCTTTTTACTAATATATTCTTCACCTGCAGAATATTTACGCTTCTGAATATTACATGCCCATTCACTGGTATGAACGACACGTTTTTTACCTATTTGAGTAGAAATAGATTTATTTTTCACTTTTCTCCTTACACCTACTGTTCCTTACAAATCTAGGCCTACTTGATTTTCTGCAATCAAATTTAAGTCTTCCTCAAGTAAACGTAGCTCATGTCCATTTGAGTTTGTTTTAGCACTAGTTTTATTTCTTCTGACCTCATTTTGTATTTCATTAAATACAGGGACATCATCACTGGAATCCGTTTCAGAGCTAGGAGGTTCATAATTTTTGTCCGATCAGAATCATCATCATCTTCGTCGAAACGCAAGTCATCTCCATTATCCTCTTCATTTTCAACATCCTTGCTGTTTGTATGATTTGGTTCTGAAATAAAACAAGTCTTATAATATTACATGTAAAACATAATATTTTGAAGTTTAGGTTCATAACAAAACATTACATTAACTGTTTGAGGTTATGTATATCACATTAAAAATAATCAGCAAAACAGTAGCTTACCTGTAGTAGAATCTTTTTTAGAACTTTTTAATAGTTCCAGAATCTTTCTCCCACGAGAATTATGGTTTATTATTCTTACTATTATTAAAAAAGAGCAAATATTATGACTTAAAATACATCCAACTATCTGTGCGTTCTTTTGTACCTACCTGGTAAGTTGCAGTTAACTTGTTTCTCCCGAACGCTTTCGGTTAGTTAGCTATGAAGCTTTGACACTATTGGCTGCTGAGAATAGGTTGCCAGGGCGACAGCACGTAAGCGCCGCCTAGATGACACACTGCGTATGTCAACCGATCTCGCTGAAGTCCAAACTACGGTAAGATGAGGAAGTAACTGAACTTACCGAGTACCCATAAAAGAACACTTGTGGTAAGTTACGGTGACTTCAAGTACTCATAAAAGAACGGGAAAGTGACTTCCAGTTAACCGCAAGTCACCAGGTGGGTATAAACGAACGCACGGTATGTAAACTCATCAGAACTGTCAAAAGTACTCTTAGTTCACTAACAATCCGCCAGGCTGTGTAAAGGTATACAACACTATGTCCAGTAGTAATTCACATGCTTCAGAAGGATAAAACACCAAGTCCACATGGTGTTCTATCCCTCTAAATGAAAGTGGACTTGGTGTTGTTTTAAATATATCCGGTTCTAACTGGCTTTGAACATAGTGCTCTATTCCTTTAAGAAATATGAGAAAAGCTGATTTTAACTCTGTAACAAAGTCAATATGGAAAAAAATGGACATAGTGTTGTATCCCTCCGAGGTACCGATATATATATATATATATATATATATATATATATATATATATATATATATATATATATAATATATATATATATATATATATATATATATATATATACTGTTATTATATATACTGTTAGCAATAATATATACTGTTATAGCAATACTATATACTGTTACTATATATACTGTTAGCAAATCAGCCGTTGTATGTTGTTATGTTTTTTTTTAATCTTGCCTTTGAATACATGTGTGGTAAATATTTATTATTTTTAAATTTATTCTTTGTCTTTATTTGTTGTTGTTGTTATTATATTTACAAATATATATAGAACACAACAAAAACAAAGTGGAAAAGAACATTCCCTCCAAAAAATATCTACTTATATAATTAAAAAAATTAATGCAAACAGGCAGGCCCGTAGCACTTTTTTTAAAGGCGCCAAATGGACACAGCGTTGCCACAGCCTGAGTTTTTTCGTAGGAAAATGCCGAAAAAATCTTATTTATCTTATTACCTTATTATAATTTAATGTGCTGAAGCTAATTTATAAAAGAATTTTTTTGCACTCTCCTACGTTTAAACCAAGCCAGTGGAAACGCTGCAAATTGGCATACAAATTGCCTACAATAATATTAAATAGAGAGAATGATATAATTTTAACAATTAGATAAACTTATTTTTTAAGAAAGCGGTGAACCATTTGTCCCGCCCGTGTTGTATTTACTAAAATAACTATTAAATTAAATGAATATTCCAATTCTTTAATTTTTATTAATCAACTGTGATTTTTATTATTTAAGTCAATATTCTCTTTCAACATTTGAAAATCGCAATTAGGTCTAAGTTGGGGGGAGGAAGAGTGCTTCTTCCCCCCCCCCCCCTACTCCTAGGCCCCTGCAAACAGGTAATTAATATTAAAAAAACTTTCAATCTAAGAAAGGCTTTTTTTATTTCGATAATCTAAGTTCTCTTCAGTGATATTTTCTCGCTATATTTGCAATTTGCCAACTATAGTTCCATGTGACAACTCAAATGCTTATATGACAGCTTGGGGAGGGGGGAAGGGGATGGGACACCCCTTACATCCCCCTCCCTTCGGAACGTCTCAGGGTCTTGTAGATTTTTTAAGATTTGACAGACGAAGTGGATTTTTCAAATTCATTTGCTGTTTTTCGAATTTTATATTTTATTTGCACTTGCAATCGCAATTCTTATCATCGGAATGTCTCGAATTAATACGCAACGATTCAAAAAACCGATTCAAAATATTTTTCACTGAAACACTTGTAAAAAATGTTGGTTCACTGAAACACTTGTAAGGGTTTTAAACAATATCTACACTAGATATATTATATTCACAGATGATCCTATGTTCTAAGCATTTTTTGTAAGTTTAATAAAAACATTTTTATTTCTAACTTTATTTAATTTAAAAATTCCATATATTAGGTGTTTTGTGTTTTCATGTCAATATTGATTTAAAATTAAAAACTTTTCAAAATATTTTTAAAAATTAAAATTCTTATAAAATATTTTTTAGTTTCTCATTTTTAAAGAATTATGCCTTTGTAGAAACTTTTAAATGTGTATTTTTGTATATTTTTAAAATATACAAAAATATAACATGTAAAAATAATATATTTGTAATATTTTGTTGTTTTTAATTGTCATTTTTACATTCTTATAATTTAAACATATGTACCTCAGTATCCTTATTACAGTTTTAAAACAAATATTTAAAAAAAAGTTTGCACAAATTTCAAAAATGGGTTGACAAATCAAAAATGTGTTTATAATCAAGAGAATATTCAGAAGTTAGCTGGGTATCTGGATCATCCACTAGGACACTGGATTATACAAACATTATTACTGATATAGTTACATAGATCAACAAGTTTTTCATTAAATACAAAGTTTAATAAAATACTTTTTTGCACTTTTAAAGCACTTAAGTTTGTTTAATATATTATAGACATAATTAACATTTTTAAAAAGTAACATTTAAAAAAAGATTAAAGATTTATTATTTAAGAATTTAATTATTATAAATAAATTATTGACAAAAAAAAAGAATTCTCCTGAATTCTATTTTTTTGTCAATCACCAGACATTGTTTTGTTTGAGAAATTTTGTTCAATACTTTAAAAAAAAGGTTTGTTTACTATTGCTGTATTATTAAGTATCACTATAACCTAGCTTTATGTATATAAACTGGAATTATCTGCTCTAGATGATACTGCAGATAAAGTTAATAAATCTAAAATTGGAATAGCTTAAAAGATTTTTAAATACTTTTTAAAATTTTTTTCTTCAAATCATTTTATAAGCACTAATAAAATTACTTCCATAAGCTACAAAAAGAAGATCAAATAATTTCTATAAATATATCTAAAAATAAATATCTAATAAAGTCAGAAAAAATTGCTTTTTTTTTTTGATTTTTTAGGTTTTGTTGTTGTTGTTGTTTGTTGTTATTAATGAAAATAAATATCAAGCCATATGTATTATCTTATTTGTTTCGGATATATAAAAAAAACACAATATTATTTGTTTTAAAACTTTTTTTGTGCGTGTGGTTATTAAGGTGCTCTAAGAAGTCCTTATATTCTATGATTATTATAACTGTTGCAGGAAAATGATAAAATCCGTGATTTGATCAAATATCTAACAGTTTTGATCAAACCATGCAAGATGTTAAAATCACAACGCTGTGTGGTTGTTTCCCTAAAGAAAGTAAGTGATTAGATTTGAAAGTAACTCTGATACAGCTATGACAAAATGCCAACAAAAAAAATTTACTGCACCTTTAGGAAATCCATCAGTCAACTGGCCACGAAGGAAGAGGTAAAATGATGTATAGTTTGTAATGGAAATACCTAATACCTACTTTAGTTGTACTGGAATTTTTAAAACTGTGCTGTGTGTCAGTTTAAAAAAAAATTGTAGTTTGCCCAATTGTATCTAGAAACTTCAATCAATGTAGCCAATTTAATTAATGAATTTGGTTCTGGTAGTTTAAGAGCCACATCAGCTTTTAAATTACCAGAACCAAAATTCAGCTTTCTTCAACCGTTTATTTCTAAAAGAGCTGCAAAAGTAGCAATGCTACTTTTAAATAGCTATTAAAAATATTTTAGGAAGTAGATTGTCCTCAGAGACTTGGCAAGGAAGGCACGAGAAAGCAATGACCACGCAAATAATGTTTTGTTTTAATGATTTAACCATAATTTTTAACATTTTAAAAATGCTCTGAAAAAAATGGATTTTATTTACATTAAAATTAAGTACTTTAGACAGGTTTATTTTTACTAATGTTTTTGTATTAGCAATGCGCTTTTAGATAAAATAACTAATGATTTTACTTAAAGTATCAATAAAAATTATATAAACCTTTATTTATATTATTTTATTATAAGATTTTTTTATAATAAATGTAATTAAAAAAATATTAATTGAAATTCTAAAAGCAACAACTTTAAACAACAATTTTCTCTTTAATATGCCTTATATAAGAATCATTAAAGTTAATACACTTGAAAAGAAGAAAGTTTTTGTCGAAAAGAAAAATAAGACAAACTTTTTTGACAGTCGTTTAAATTAAATAACTTAGTATTTTTATATTATTGAAACGCATTTAAATAAAGTAACAAATCACTGCTAATGAATTTTTATTACAAATGTCTTTAAATAAAAAGTTATATCAACTTTTTAAAGAAATAATTTATTTATTATTTATTTAGTTTACATTACTGCAAAGAAATATTAAAAACTTTTTTTTTTTTTTACTTTTAAATATGCATATTTATTATACAATCCTTATTAAGTTGTTACTTTATTCAAAAGAGTTTTGCTTAATGTTATATTATAAAAACGTTAGTAGAGATAAATGATTCAAAGTTTTTTTATTTCCAAACATAATTTAAGTAATTTTAAATTACGTTTAGAATAAAAATGAAAAAAAGAAATGAAAAAAAAAAAGAGGTTATAATAATAAGTAGACATTCATATTTGCAAATAAAATAAGAAATTTATAATTTTCTTTATTAAAGATTTAAAAATTAAAAAAAATCTAGTCGAGTCATTCCATATCAACTCAACCAGCATTTTGACAATTGTTCACCATACCATCTCAGATCTTCCTGAAATTTTCAGGGCTTGTAGTCATACAAGCAGTTTCTGAAATTTTTAGCCCATTTCATCAAAAACTTTCTGAGATATGATTTTTTAAAGTTTTAAGGGTTGTCGCAAGTTCACGTGACTTTTACATTTTTGCTATATTTGCACCTGAATATTTAAAAAACTAAAACAGGTATCAGACTGAAATTTTCAGCATTTACTCATTTTTTCATGGTGAGTTGTAAGGTATTTTTATATCAAATGTAGCTTGCATACAATATCCCCTAAAAATGTCCAAACATTGCACTTTAGACAGTTTTCACCAATATTTGATCCGATATAATTAAGAACCTATAAAATATAGAATGATGTTTGTCATACCACTAATAAGTACCGTATATGTGTTTATTATTTTCATAGAAAATTTATGTTAATCAATAATATTGTACTCATTGTAGGCACTGTTATGCATCACAGTCATCAATTTTTGTGCGTATTGCGACCCCCAGATGACCATGTTGACAGTAATTCACACATTTCATATTTTGCACACTTATTAACCTCAGTAAGTACTAGCTATGGTGAAAATTTCACGTTGGTGTCGTAAGCCTTTCCTACTAAATCAATTGCAAATTAAAACCATATTTTGTTAAGTTTTTTTTTTAAAATATTATTTGTACATTAAAGTGTATTGTGGTAAATCATCAAAGCAATAAACTGTCAATTAAATTTTATGAAAAAATAGTTAGTTTAAGTTACAAAATCAAATTATAGACTGTTTTTATCAACAATACAAGCAACCATGTAAAGCAATATCAGTGTATGGTGCCAATGCATTTAACTGTTGGTATCTTATCTATTTACACACAGTTCTACTATCAAACAGTTTCTTGCAATTGTCAAAATGCTCATCATCATAGAAACACTGTCTTGCTGAACTGCCAGACAACATTAGTGGTGGAAGATTGCACAGCACATTAGTGAATGGTATCCAGCAGATATCTTCACGATGTAGCCAAGTTAATCTATTTGTAGGTGTTCTGTTCATGAGCTTTACCAAGATATCTTGATGTTCATCAGAATGTTCTGTTATGCAACCAATAAACCAATCAGTATCATAAACAACAGCTACAAACTGTCCTGAATGCAAATCTGTTATACTTGGTGCCAGGTCAGGTTCTGGTGACACATTGACGATTGTACCCAAGTCATCACATGACAACCTGAATATCTTTAGTTTGTTTTCACTTACTGCCACAAACCGGTGGTGTGACCGTGTGCCAGGAACAGTTTGAGTTAAAGCAAATCGTTCAACCAAATAGCTACGATGCCTTGATGTCATCTTTTGCTGCAAAAAAGAAGTGAATTCCTGGAATGTTTTTGGTTGCCTAATTGTACATGATGTGGCGTTAGTATTTGATGTTGCAAAGTTGCCTGCAAACTTGCTCTTGCCACTAGCCTCTTTACTGTACCACCAATACCATCACAAAGACTTTTTCCATGACTGGTAGCAAAAAAATTCCACTCCGCTTCAATACCAAAATCTGTTTTATGCATGCACAGATTCTTTAAGTTTTTGCAGTTTTTATATCGTGCTGCTGCTCCATCACTGAAGTAAATTATTTTCTGCAAATCAGGCATTTTGCTCCTGATGATCCATTGTTTTATCAGCGGAAGTACAAAGTGAAGTAATGAAGTCAGCAACAGTCTCACATACAAATTGCAGCTTTGACTGACCATGATGGGTCCATCGTTTGTAATTGATTATGGCATCTAAATCCATATCAGCTTCATCAAATAGCTGTTCAAGAAATGATTTCAGTTCATCAATACCAGGACAAATAGAACAACGATGCAGCATGCATTCTCGTTTCTCAGTTGAACAAACGACCTACAGAAGCAAGTTTATATAATCAGTTCTAACAGTCAGTGCTGTAACTGCAAGTTTCAAATTTTGATGAGTCTCACAGACACAGATTGCATGAACACCATTCGAGTCAACAGTAATGCACCATGGTGGTTGCAGTGAACAAAACTTGCTAAGCCCAATTTTTATTGCAGTTCGTTTTTTGAGCTCTACATGCACCTCCTTGAGATTCGGAAGTAGAAGAGGTTTTTGTTTATGAACACTTTTACCATCAATTCTGATTGACAAGAATTCTTTTTGACCTAGACACCTGCGGAAAATTTCATCATCTTAAAAAAATTTATGTACACTTTCAATCACATCATCTGGGAGAACTTTGCCATGTTTTTTCTGTAAGTATACCAAAATTCCACATGATTTCTTCAGTTTTCTCGCTTAACAATGTGCCTGGTTACTCCAATTTCCTGTGAGACTTTTAGTTGGCTCCAGCTAGGTAGTGCTAGTGTTACCATCTTAATTTTTTCTTCCCTGGAAGCTGTATTGCATTTAATTTTTAATTCAGTCACTAGTTTTGTTAAGTCATTGCAACCATCACATTCTGTAGCATCACCTTCATTCACAACTAGATTAAGAGGTACTTGGATGGCTTTCTTCTGGATCTCTGTTGTTGCAGTTGCAATTTTAGGTTTGGCATGCTTGTTATACTTTCATTTAGTTGAGAAAGATGCAAGTCAACGTCTTCTATATCGGTATCACTAGCTGAATGTCCATAACTCTGTTCAGGTTCCTGGGATGTACCGTATTTTTGACAGCTTGGGCATAGCTTCTTACCAGGTTTGATGTGTCTCCCAGTTGTTAGTGTTAGTTTCTTGGCTTTGTCAATACTGACTGCCCTCAGTGACTGGATGACTTTGCATTGATGTTTATTGAATGGATCATAACAACTCTGCTGCAGTTTATCAAATTTTTCAAGTAGAACCTGTTCGTGGTGGAAGCATATATTGCAGTTCTCTCTTTGTAATTGATCAATAGGCTTGGTTCTTAACATCAACAATTTAAAGTTAGCATCGGATAATTCTGACAGGTTATGCAAGCCAACACTGCATGTATGAACTGTCTTGTGGCATTCATCTTGAAGAAACAGTGTAAATGTGCACAATGGCAGTTCAGCCATATTCAGTAAATATTGAATCTAAAATGTAAAATTAAATTAAAAAAAAAAAATAAAATGTGATAATATATTTTTATAAAAACATTCCATACTAATTCAACCAAAAAAAATACAAATTTACATGCTACTTTCTCATAATTCAATAAAATTTTTAGTATATGTTTATAAATGTTTTCTATTAAAAAAATGAAATACCTAAAAAAAATTATTACCTAAAAAAAATATTTTCAGCGATTTCTTAACTTTGTATGTACTACAAGCCCTAAAAATTTCAGGAAGATCTGAGATAATGTGGTGAACATCACTGGTTGAGTTGACATGTAATGACCCAATTTAAAAATATTTTTCAACATGCGAAATTGTATGTGGTAAACCTTGACATCCACCTAGTCAAGGATCTGTTGATTGATCAAATCAAGATGTTGAAGCTATGTTGCGTGCTTGATTAATTGATAATGATACAAAAGTTGATTTTTAGGTTGTTACTTTGTTTAATTTCAAAACAATTCTGCTTTTTATCAAACCATTAAACAATCACCTTACAAAGCTTTATTTGGAACAGAATCAAAAACAGTACTCTAATCCAGTCATGTTTCAAAAGATTTGCTTGAAAAAGTTGTTACTCAATAGAACTTGGATCTACTCTTTAATTGACAAAAACATAATATTATTTTAACTTCAGAAGACTTA